CTTTACACCAAAAGCATCAAGATGTGCTTATTTGCCTACATCCCTTCCAACATATTCTTGAAAGATTGTAATTTATATAAATTGAAACTTTGATTTAATTAACCATTGGGGGAAAGGTTATATCTTACTTCCAAATGTCCACTAAATACAGATTGATGCAATTTATGACATTTGTGTAAATCACATAATCAATGTTTCTAGATGATTTGTGACAGTTTACATCATTTGTATAATTACAGAAAAGACCTAAAAATGTCATTTGCATAATTACGCAAATGACCTAAAAACGTCAGTTGCATAATTACACTAGTGACATAAATTAACACATATCTCGTAAATTACAGGAGTTGTCCAGATGGACTTGTCTGTAGATTTGTGGGTGAATTATAAATGAAAATTTGGTCTGTTGCATCTCATATTTGTTAAACTGATTTCACAGTAATATATTTCAAACAAGCATAGTGCCATCTGTGGATTATCGGTAAAGTCACTTTTTGATGTTTTAGTAGAACAGATTTAATCAGGATTCTCTCCCTCGAAGAATTCCAAACAGTTTCACAGAGTTAAAATCCCAAATTATCTTAGAGGTTTTTTTTTAGACAGACCCTTTTGGGTTTAATGTAGGAAAAATTATAATTTAATATTGAAGACATTCCATTAACTGAAGTAGGTGGACTTTCTTTTCTATCAAAAAGGTATCTTCTTACTTTATAAGTTCACAAACTGGAGAGAGGAGGAAGATCAGAAGTCAACAGCTGGTTTCCAAATTTCTAGTATGGATTTGAGGTAGTAGATATCAATTTTTCAGAACCAGAGATAAATTATATTATGCTTATAGACAGAGAATCAAATGTGCTAATTCTGTTTGTATCCGTTGGCCTTTATTTAATGTCCTTATAATCTGAATTAACTGCTTTAATTAAACATGTCAAAATAATGTTTCAAAGATAGTGTAGCTGGACATCCATTTTATTCTTGCTTGGATTGTTTCTGTGATCCTAGTTTTTTAATATATAGAATTATGTATAAATAAATAATTTTTGCCCTGTGGGAACCTGAGTAGTTTCTAGCTAACGTCTTTTTAAAGACTCTTGAGGTAAAGAATGAAGTACTTTGGGGAATGATGAAGACAGATTAATTCAGATAATTAAGAGTAGATGTTTTCTCTGTTTTTTAAAGATATGCATATTAATGATAATATATTAAAGATATGCATCTTAATAATAATTTATTAGACTTGTACGCTGCCCAGTTCTCAGTGACTCTGGGTGGCTTACCACAAACAAAGAAATTACAGTAAAATCAATAAAATAATAAAGATAAAAGACGGCAATAAGGATTATTCTTTCGCTGTGGTTAGAGCATGAAAAACCCACCTTTGTTCTGAACATGTTTTTTATGCTCTACCAATAGCAAAAGAATCATCGTTAGGATATGGGAGAATGCTAGAATTCCAGATATAAAGGATTGGATTTCAGAGATGTGCAATTTAGCAATTTTTGAGAAAATCGTATATTCTGTGAAAGCATTGAAAGATACCCGATTCTGTTGGAAATTGATGACTTTCTCCATCTTTTAATATAAGGTAAATTTAGATTCCCCTGAGCTGAGCTTTACTTCTGGATAGGTTTCTGGATTTTTCAGTGAGTTGAAACCTGTCTCCACCCATTCAGATGGCTTTCTGCAGACTCTCTCGAAATAGTTCCTAGTTGGGTCAGCCGTTCCATTTACTACGGTATTTTAAAGATGGCAAGACTGGAAGCTAAAATCATCTGGCTTGCATATCCGTTGACATTTTCAGGGTTAGATGTTATATTATTAAATATTATAAAATAATGTATTGGTCAAATATTGTCATAAAGATAACTGGACTGTAATAAGAGGTGGTTTAATTGCTAAGAAGGTGAAGGTGTTGGGACTGTTAGGATTTAATATGTTAAATTAATAGAATAGTCATTTAGCTTTAGTTGATTAATCAGAAGAGACAAATTTGCATTGACCAAGGTCATTTTAATCCCGAGGCTGCAGTGTAAATGGCACGCTTTGTTTGTTGAGGGAGGTCATTCTGGTTCTGATGTGCTGGAAATTGAGAAGGTAGTGTTAAATATGAACTTCTTTTCTTAATGTTCACTTTAGTCCATTAAACTGTGAAGTAGTTATTCTCTACTTTTGTGATGTCGTGACCCCACAAAACAATAAAAGTGTGACTCCTCATGAATCAATTAAACATTCCCCTGGGCTTAGAGTCATTCGAGAATAACCCTTCCAAAAAGTTATGTGACTTGCATCATAATATCTTCAGTTAGGCTTATTTTTCATCAGCTCTATCAGTAGACGAGTCGTATTTACCTTTTCTTGTCTGTGCAACCATAGCTTTTCCATTCCAAAAGGTTGAAATACAAAATAGCAGATAAAAAACACTACATTTCACAATCACATGCCCTCTGTGGATGCTTCAGAGGTGGTAGATACATCACTACGTGCCATACCAAAAATCACTGTTCAATCAAGCTAATTCTGAGAGATGGCCCACCAGTTTAGCCATCACTCAAGATGCCTGCTTGTCTTTGCTCTCCTCTTTGCCTGTGTGAGCCTGCTATGAGGCAAAGCAGGGATGAACTTTGACAGCGTTCTTGTTTTGCCTCTGCAAGCCTGATCAACTTTTTTAAAAATCCCCTTTCAGCTGCTATGACTCCTTGAGGGATCATAGCCCGCAGTTTGAGGGCCCTGATCTAAAAGAGCTTAGAACTTCCTCAGTTTTGCAAAATCAGATAGGATGACGCAGAGGCGTGTATATTTAACTGATCCACTAGCCAAGAAGCGTGCCTAGTTAATAAGCTGGCAGACTTGAAGGCAGCCCTAACAATGGCTTTAGATATAGAGTGCAGAGGATTTCCATGGAGCTGAATGGCCAGGGAAAACTAACATGCGAGAGGTGATGGAGAGGCTGAAAACGAAATGGAAGGAGCACCAGGCATAAGCAACACATGGGAAAGGAGTTAGCATCTTACCTCATAAGGGGCAACTCAGTCCAGATACCAAAAGCCCGGGAAAGAGAAGTTTAAAACATCCAAGGAAACTCTGCCTTGTGAACTCACTAATCAAGGAAGACTGTCCTACCACAGTTTCCAGGACAGGCCAGAACCTGTGCACCAGTTGGGGTGGGGTGAAGGCCCTCCTGGTCATGGGCGTGCACCACTTGGAGCGCGTTTACCCCAATCAGTGTATTGATCATAGACTCCCTGAACCACCCATTAATATCTCCCAGCAGCTTCATATAAATATTATTTCATTATTTCCCCCTCAATTTTGCAAAAGGTTTGTCAAAAATAGGAGGGAGGACTGACCAAATTATGGTTCTACAAGATGAAATATTAAAAGGCTGCGAGCTTTTAAATGCTTCAGATTGTCACTGGGCCTCATTAGGGATGGGGAGAGAAGAGCAGAACGGGTCCGTTTTCATGTCTTCTGGGGAGGTTTGAAGGTCATGGAAGGAAGAATGGTGAAGGAGGCTTACAAATATTCTTGGAAAACTCAGGAAACATCCAGATTTTCCACCCTGTGGAAGGTGGAACCATGTTTGGGCTGTAGCCAATACTGGACTCGCAGTTTCCAGATGTGGAGGAACTGAACTGTGAGCTTCCAGAAGATTATAACCAGACTTGGAAGCCATTCCTTCAGCAAATGGCTTTTAAGTTACACTGCTAATACAATTTTTTTTTTCCTTTTCAACATGAACAGTTTTCTTCTTATGGATGTTATGACATATTTTCCACAACTGAGAAAAGTGTTGAAGATAGGGGAAATGTCTCCAAGTGTCAGCCCATTTTAAGCTCCCAGTTGGCATGAATTAATCTGAAATATTTTATGCCATAGTTTGTGGATAGTTTTCACACCATGTTCTTTTCGAGATGTCATCTGAAGATTTTGCTTCAAGGCTGTTATAAGGCCACCTCAACCCACGTTAAGAAGGGCTGCGTCATTGTGATAGATGCATCAGTACATCATTGTGATAGATTATTAGAGGTCAAACTACACATTTACTCAATTTTTTCTTCCATTGTCATTTTTGAAGGAAGAGATATCCTAGGTATCTTATCACAAATGAGATCCATCTACAGGAGGGATCAGAGTAGTTGCTTGCTAAAAACCTTATAATTATTTTCTCCTCCCCCACCCTAACATCTGGTAACTATTTTTCTTGAAAGGGCTATTTACTGCAAATAGCTGGTGAGGGGGACATTTTTTGGCAAGAAATTTTCCACGAGGCCCACGTTGGATCAGGTGCTTATTCCAAATAAACCCCTTCTTTCCTGAAAATAAGACAGTTTAAGTATCTCTTTAAAACAGCATAGGATGTCATTTGACTCAAAAAATACATTTAATGTGTGCCTAGGACAGTCTCTGCCAAATTCTTCTTATCTGATGCACGGAGGTTGACTTCAACTAGCCTGGCATAGCATTCAAGAGGCGTTTACAGATGTCAATCTGAAAGTAAGAATTTGAAAGGGACATCTCTTTTTCCAATCTTAGTATTATTTTAAAATCATGAGTATATTTGCACCTGTTCTTACATAAAAGTAGCCTTGAATTTGATAGATAAGGGCTTACTCAGCTTTATGCAAAAAACTTCACAGCTGATCAAGAATTTAATAGAGTATCTTTGGGGTTTAGCCCAGTGTTTCTCAACTTTGGGAACTTTAAGGGCGTGTGGACTTCACCCCCCAGAATCCCCCAGCCAGCATGGGGAATTCTGGGAGTTGAAGTCCACACGTCTTAAAGTTCCCAAAGTTGAGAAACACTGGGCTGTCATTTGGTTCATTTCATTTCACTGTTTTGGGAATAACAAGGATGCTGTACTTTGTAAAGATTCCTTAATGCAAACTGTTCTAAACACCCTATAATGTAAATATTGTGTAAATATTCTAAAAAGGAAAACGTTCACAATAAATGAATCTTTTTCCCGTCTCTCAACCCATTCTCTTTTTCTTTTCCTGTAGAGACATCAGAGTTTTTCCATTTTTTTGATGATCATCCCCAGGAACAAGACCAAGTTACATCCTTGGCAGGATCTCGTCTGGAGTCAGGTAAGTCAGCTAACCCTAACCCTAACCCTGGAGGTCAGGATTCAGAATATTCCTTGTTTGTTAACCTTGATGATGCATTTATTTATTTTATTATGTTTGCAAACTGCCCAGTCAACAGGACCCCTGGCAGGTAAAGGATGGATGGATGGACGGACAATGAAGCTACTAGGGACATTCACAGGAGGGGGGCGGTCAGTGAAGTAGAGATTACATCCACAACTGCATGATCATAGACCAAACTTTTATTTATAGGAGGTAGGTAGGTAGATAGGTAAACTTTATTACCATTTTTGACCAGCATATATACATACAATTCTACTTCATGATAGACGGGTTGTGTGGGGCTTTGATCATGCAACCGCTGCCGCCATCTTGATTTTTTTTACTCCCCCTCCCGGCCCCATGGCCACCCTGGCCAAACCAACTAAAAAAAGCAAAGCGTCGATTTTCATTTTGGAAAGCTTCCCATGGTAACTGCCTTGACTAAGTCACAGCAAAATGAATGGGATGGACTTGTAAGTAACGGATGGGAGAGTAGGAATGCTGTTCTCAGGGTAGTGGCCATGAGGAAGAACGCTCACCTTTCTTTTCTTGGACTGCAAGGGAAACGAAGGCTGGGTAGATCAGTCTGCGTGGCTTTCTTCGTCCTCTTTTCCAGCCGTTCCTCTTTGTCAGCTGATGTTTTCCGCCATTTGTTCCATACTCCGATAAAGCAGAACAGAGCAGTGAATGGGTCCATCATTTTATCTCCATGCAAAGCAGCTTGCCTTTCTGTAGTATCCCATGAAGAAGAATGGCCACAGAAAAACAAAGCAATGAAAAATCCTAAAATGTCTAAGGCAGGGTTTCTCAACCTTGGCAACTTTAAGATGTGTGGACTTCAACTCCCAGAATTCCCCAGCCAGCCACGCTGGCT